TTGAGAGATATGCTCAATGCAACCGTCGACCTCAATTTCAGCCTTGCCTCGTGAATCTCGCTCAGTTGGTTTTTTCGCCAGGACTCGAGCTTAAAGTTGTTCTTCTGTAGCATTCTCAATTCATGGGCACTTTGTCCTCGCCATCTATCGGGCCGACTCATTCTACAGGCAAGCCATTTAGAACGGGGGAGAAAACGAGGATTTCGAGACCGAAAAGAGGTCCTACTTACGTGCTCTTCTCGACTTCCGACCAACTCAGCGGAATATATGCGAAGAAAAGTTGGGTTTCGAGGAATCTCTGGTTTCATAATTGTTGAGCTTACTTCCATTTCGAGTGAAAGTGTTGGGCGAAGAGATTCAAAGGTCGGTGCCACCAGAAGACGACGACGGATTCCTCTTGACCAGCTGTCGATTGGCTTTATTCGAAGATTCATGCTGACGCTGTTTCCGAGGCAATCTCCTTCGATTCCAGTGAAAAGGTCCGTCACATGACGAGCATCATCCGAGCAAGGAACATCATCGTCACAACCAAATTGAAGCTAACGAGTCAAAAAAACTCACCGGCAAATCCCGAAAAAGTGGTAAATATACTCTACATCTGGCCTCTTTGATCAAATATAAAGTGATTTGGTTAGTTACGGTCATATGTCAACTTCAATGCATGTGAGTGTGTCTGTCTCTGTTTGTGTGCTCAACCATTTCTCATGTTCTAATCTTGCCATCGTGTCTTCGTTCCAAGAGAATAGGGGGGAGAACATCGTCACAACCAAATTGTAGCTAGCGAGTCAAGAGATAGTCGTCATCAAACCTCGATTGCTGTCCTAATCACTTTGAGCCATCACTGCTGGTTTCGTGCATAAGCACACAAAAATAGACACATGCACATACAGTGACCGACACACTCACATGCTCCGAAGTTGACTTATGACCGTAACTAACCAAATCACTTTATACCTCATCAAAGAGGTCAAATGTAGAGTATATGTACCACTTTTTATGGATTTGCCGGCGAGTTTTCTCGACTCGTTAGCTTCAATTTGGTTGTGATGATGATACCCTCGATGCTCTGATAAAGTTCGTCACATGACGCACAAAAGCTTAGCACCATTTTTCGGGAATCGAAGGAGATTGCCATGGAAACAGCGTCAGCATGAATCGTCCAGCTGGTCAGGAGGAATCCGCCGTCGTCTTCTGGTGGAACCGACCTTTGAATCTCTTCACCGCACACTTAACTCGAAATGGAAGTAAGCTCATCCGAGCTCTCTAGTTTCCCACAAGCTTGCTATATTTATTCCCCTTTGCACAATTGACAAATCCGCCTACCCTCCAAAACATAATAGTCTCTTCGACAGACGAGATTGAAGAAAAAAACCTTGCAATGTTTGAACATTCATGCTTATGATTGGCTCCAAAAATAAAAATGCCTTTGTCTTTTTTAGGACAATTTTGAGAAATTAACACTTTATAGTTTTACTGAAACAAATCCGGCTGCAACAAAGAAGAGGGAACGTATTACGCTTAGAAAATATCATCTTATGCTGAATATGGGAAGAAATGATGTTGGGACCCGGCCCATTTGCGCTCCACGTTGGTGTGAGGCTACAAGTAAATGAGGAAAAGCAGAAATTAGGATAATCAAATAATGTTTGTTTCTACATTTTTCAGCTTGTCTTCAGTTTATGACTTGGTGCTGCCAAATTAATATGTTTTTTTCGGTTGTCTGTGTTTGTGGCGAGTTGACGGCTTGTGTGTATGTCATAAATTTGCTTCTGCTTTTGCTTATGCGTGTGTGCTTGTGTGGCTGCGTCCAATTAAGGAGCCTACCACAAACGAAACCTCCAAACTCAATTGAACACTACAAACAACATAATTTCACGTATTCACCACCTACCCATCGCTTCACACTTCAGAGCAGTTTAACACCTCCTTTGAGATGAACGAGGAGCGATATCAGAACGCTAGCAGCGATCTGAAGTGTCGTATGACCAGTCGAGCGGGCGCCTCCGTTGAAAATGAGTGCTGAGTTCCGTTGGCGTGATTGAGGGAGTTTCACAGGTTCGAGCCAGGGTACAGGATCAAAGAGAGAAGATAATACAAAGAATCAAAGCCGCGCTTATTTGCACAAGAAAGAGGCATCGAGACTATTCTTTGCGTTTCATAAGTCGCTTTTTCGAGGCTACCATTAAAGTTTATATAAGAGCTGAATTAATTATATTTCCCTCAAGGTGATAAGAACGAGGTGGCCTCATTTTTCCCTTGAATTTCACGTAGCCCTACCTCCAAAAAGGTATACTTGTCCCGGCTGGAGTAGACTTCCGTGTCGACCTCGCCGGAACTAGCCTCCTCAGCACCTCCTGCAGGACTCGAACCATGAAAGCGCAGCACATAATCCATAAACGTCACCCACGAGTCTCCTTGGGTCAGATATGATTGTCGGAAACTGTAATCACCAATGCTTCCTCAGCTTAAGTGAACTCAGCTTAAAGCAGCTATTCTATCAGATCTACCGGTAGTCTCGAAAAGCCTACTTATGAAACGGAAAATAAGTAATGCAGTCGATTACTGTAGCAAATACAACTTTGCTTAATCGACAATCTCCACACATAATGTGAGACAAAAAAAAATGTCTGGCTTTCCTTGAAATTCACATCTGTCCTGAGAGCCAAG